CCATGTGATTTACTGTCTCTGAAAATCTACTGGAGGATAAACTCTGCATTGTTTCTGACATTAGGGAACACAGCAGTAAGAAGCTCTAGTGGTACTGTGGTTAAGACATTTAGCAGCTAACCAAAGGGTTGGCAGTTTGACACTAACAGCTGCTATGTGAGAGAAAGATGAGGCAGTTTGCTTACATAAATATTTACAGCCTTTGAAATCTTTGTTGGGACTTTCTACTTTGTACAACAAGCCTGCTTGTTATGAGTCAGAACTGACTCTATGGAAGTAAGTATGTAGCTACTAAAATGCAATGTTTTTTCTCATTTTTTAGTATGAGAGTTTTTAAAAAACAAATTTCTGAGTGTGCAGTAACAGTGATGATAGTGGGACAGAAGATAGGAACTGTATGTGTTTCATACGTAACTCTCTACCTATTAAGACAGAGTTCTACTGTTAGGTAAAATAAGCAGCTCAAGGAATGAAGGAAAGGAAAAAGGTATGAAAAAGAAGAAAGCTTTGTTCAATTTTGGAATTTTTCTTTCCTCCAAAGTATTACTGATTAACATTTCCAAATTTAAACAAAATACTGAGATAAACTTCAAATATACTGACACCATTTCCCAAGCTATAGGGTAAGAAAATTTTACACTATGAAGGCATTTAGTTAAAGCACTATTAAGTACAAGAAATGTCACTGATTGTTTTACCTACTAATATTAAAAAACACTTTTCAGTTTTAGAATTTAATCAATGCCTTGATAAAGAAGCAGATCTTATAAAATGAAAACTAGAATATGATTTAAAATGTTTTAATTACCTGAATAATTTTATCACCTGGTTGCAATAATTTTGAAGCTGGTCCTTCAGGTTGTACTCTTGTCACAAATATACCCTTTAACAGTAACACAAAAGATAATTTAACCAAAAACAGTATGCCCAAAAACAAAGAATCAAAGAGTAGTCTTCGTTCACACCATAAAATATTTGAATTGTATTGTAAGTTTTCTTCTTTGTGTTCTGTGAATACTACTGTGACAATGGGTAATTTAATCTTATCTTTGATAATTCTGACCTTAGAACAGACAATTCCCAGGGTATGGACAAATCACAACAGTTTTTTAAAGTTATGTAAATTTGACTTCACTTTGAAATGAGTGTTAGGTGCCATCAAATTGCCTATGACTAACAGTGCCCCTATTAACAACAGAACTGAACCTTGCCCTATGTCCTTCTTATGATCTTTGATATGCTTGAACTCACTGTCACAGTCACTGTGCCAATCCATCTTGCTGAGGGGGGAGTCTTCATTTCTTTCTCTGACCTTCCAGCTTCCGAGCTTGATGTCCCTTTCAAAGGAATGGCTGCCACTAATAACATGGTCAATGTATGCAAGATGATATGTCACCATCAAGAGCACCTGGCTGCACTTCCTTCAAGGCAGACAGACTTGTTTGTTTTTCTGGCAGTATTTTTCCCCAATACCGCAGCTCAAAAGCATTGATTCTTCTTATATCATCCTTATTCACTGTCCAACTTTCAGATGTATAGGAAGTAACTGAAAAGACCATGGGATGGATCAGGCACTTCTTAGTCCTTAAGCTGATATCTTGCTCTTTAGCACTTTGGGGAGGTCTTTGACAGCATTTTTTCCTAACACATCTTTTGACTTCTTCACTGTTGCTACAATAAGTGCTGACTGTAGTTCTAGTAAAATGAAATCATTGACAATTTCAATCTTTTTTTCCATTTATCACAATGCCGCCTACTGGTGCAGTGTTGAGGATTTTTGCATTAATATTAAGGTGTAATCAATACTGAAGGCACCATAAGTGCTTCAAGTCCTCTTCACTTTCAGCAAGCAAGGTTGGTTGTGTTATCTGCATTAACCCAGGGTGCTGATGAGCCTCCTTCAATCCTGATGATATTCTTCTTCATACAGCCCAGCTTCTTGAATGATTTATTTAGCATACAGATTAAATAGGAATGGAGAAAGGATTTGGTCCCCCAATGCACACCTTTCCTGATGTTAAACCATGCAGTGTTTCCTTGTTTTGTTCAGAAAACAGTTGTTTGGAACTAGCTCCTACTTAAAACAAATTATTCATCACCATCACCTTCACTTGCTGCCTATACAGCTTTAAAATAATTGGAAAAAAAGCGTCAGGGCTTTTCTTGTAATATTGCAAGGCTAAATTAGAATATTCTTATTTTGCTGTGTGCTGCTGAGTGGGTTTTCAGATAGAGTAAATTGCATGGGAAGAGAATGCACATCTTTCTCTTGTGGAGCAGCTGGTGTTATTGAACCACATACCTTGGCAGTACAGCTCCTTAACACTAAGCCACCAGAGTGGTGTTGGAGAAAATGACAAATATTCCATGCTAAAACAAAAAGCTATGTCATGGGGAAAAAAAAATGCAGACAGTGGGTTCACTGCTGGCAAAGATGGTGAAGATTTGTCTCTTATATTTTGGGTATGCTGCCAGGAGAGTCTATTCCTTGGAGAAGGACATCATGTATGGAAATGTGGAGGGTCAGCAAAGAGAGGCAGACTATCAGTGAGATAGGAGAACAGTACTGCATCAATGGGCTCAAATGTGTCAGAGATGATAAGGATGGCAGAGGGTAACCGGACAGTGTTCAGGTCAATTGTTCATAGTGTTTCTATGAGTTGTATTTGACTTGACAGCACCTAACAACCATATAACATCAAATAAGAACTGTTCACACCTGTTTAGGCTTCAAATCAAAGACAGTTTAGAACTGACCTTCCTCATAATCAAAGAACTGCTTGTAGAGTGATTTCTGTTAAAGTGATGAAATTACTTCTGTGGATGTGTGTGTGTAAAAACAATCAGAGACGGAAAATCACATAATAAAAATTTGGTTAAAATACTTTTCTTCAAATATGCAACTTAAACTGATCAAATTTAAAACAAAAAGCCAAATCATAAGGTGAAAAGCCAAAGAAATGGTTGTTTATTTAAATAAAAATCTATGGACATTTCAAGGACATATATGAACAAAACTCACATCATCATCAGGTCTGAACGGGTTTCCTCTCCCTCCGACGCCTCCTGATATGCTAAATCCAAGTTCTGGATCCTTTTCAATCCTCACTCGAATCTAAATTAATATTCAAATAAAATTAGTATTACTTTAAAAAACTTACAACACAACAACATTCATATTTAATAGTGAATTAACACCAAAAAAATGATCTATAAACATTCACCATCTAAAATAAATACTTGGGGAAACAGTTACACATGGAATATTATGTTAATATTAATGAGTTAGTGAATTAAAGCTGAAATTTTTAAGCAGAGATTCTAACTCTATTATTGCTTATTTTATCAGGTAAAGCATTTAATTAAAATTAAACGTATTATAATTTTTAGACATCATTGGTTCTTAGTGACAGTATAAAAACAAAATGTGTATTAACATTTCCATTTGTGAAATATCTAAATTATAAAGTATATCTGTTTACTGGCTTGTTTATAAAAAAGTCTTACAGACCAAAGGGTAGTTTTTGTATATTATCTCTGATTATATCTATAAAAGGGGTTGGAATTTCTTTATTCAGCTTTTAAAGGAAGAGCCAAACTGCCTTTCAGAGTGGTTGTACCACTGTAAAATCTGACCAACAATGTATAAGAGTTCTTATCTCAACATATCCTCTCCAACATTTATTACTTGCTGCCCTGTTAAACTTTACCATTGTTACTGGAGTGAGATGTATCTCAATGTGGTATTGATTTGCATCTCTCTTATTGCCAGTTGTTTTGAGCATTTCTTCACATGTGTCTGTTGGCAATTTGAGTATCTTCCTCTGTGAAAATTCTTTTCATGTATTTTGTCCATTTTGTAACTGGGTTATCAGTCTTTTTCTTATGGCGGTCCAGGAGTATTCTATAAACATTTGTTATGAGACTCTTGTCTAAGCTGGTATTGCCAAATGTTTGTTCCCAGTCGGTAGGTTTTCTTTTCACCTTGTTGGGAAAAGTTTTTGATGTGCACAGAGATTTAATCTTTAGAAGGTCCCATTTATCAGGTTGGTGCTTTCTCAAAAAGCTGAACATAGAAATTTCCTGACACAGCTATTCCACTGCTTGGAATATACCCCAAGAAAATAACAACTGAGGCACAAATAGAGACTTGTACACCAATGTTCACAGCAGCATTATTAACCATCGCAAGAACATGGAAACAGCTGAGATGTCCAACCATAAAAAAATGGATTGAGAAATTATGTTATATTTACACAATGGACTACTACGCAGCAAACAGGAGCAATGATTTCATAAATTACTACCTGACTTGGGAAGGACTGGAAAGCATTATGCTGAGTGAACTAACAGTCCCATAAAGACAAATACTATATAATAAAACCATGATTGTAGAGTGAGTATGAGGGACAGAGGGTGGAAGTAGAGGGGTAAGGATGTGCGGGTAGGGACGATTAATCATGGGGTCACACAATTTGATGGGTGTGGGGATGAGGGAAATGGGAAAAATCTGGTAGGAAAAACAATGTATTCAAATTCTGCAAATAAACTAGTATAAAAAACAATGTAATATAGAATGAGTGATTGTATGAAACACAATGTAAATGAAAAATTGTATAAAACACAATATATATGAATGAAACATGTAAAGGTACTATATGAAAATCAAGAAAAATGTTAAAAAAATAAAATCTAAAATAACAATTTTTAGAACACAATTAGGAAAATGATGTAAGAATAAAACTTTGTTAAAAACACCTTATTTCCAAAGGTTCAACAAAAATGAATAAGGTATATCCCCAAGTTTCTAATAAAAATTATTATTTTTCTAATATTGTCATACTATACAAATATAATGAATTTTTTTGTTTTCCATTTTTGTTTTAATAAATTCAAGTTTTGATAAACATATAGTGTTTAACTTTGTTTACCATTGCTTATTGAAACTTTCCAGTTCAACAGTCAGCAGAATACCAGTGGTTTGAGTGCAATGGGAGTGTTTCAAGGTACAATTTCAGGGCTTTCTTATGTCTTCAAACAATTCAGCTTCACTTTGGTTTTTAAATATTAGATTTTTTTTTTGTTATTTATCTATTTATTAATTTTATATTAGTTTGTTTACAAAATTCATATACATTGTGATTAATATGCATTGTGTGTCATACTTGTTCATTCATTGTGTTTCATACCGTCATTCCACATATTATGCTTTATAAAATTAATCACCATTGATCTATGCCCACTATTACCCTTTTTAAAATTTTTTTTAATAATTTTAATGAACATTTACAGAGAATTTGGATTTCCATTCATTCATTGCTGCAATAACTAATGAATTTTAAAAAATAATGAAGTAATTAACCAACTTTAATGGTAACAGTAAAGTGGTCCAAAATGAGCAAACAATAATTAAAATGTCCAAGGAAGTATTTTTAATTATCCATTTTTAGTTTGAGGAAGAAATTGTGTCAGCTTGCTATTTATCTTTATTTCTTCCCCAAAATACTGAGAAGCCTTTTCAACTTTTTAAAAATAAAAAACAGGTATCTCTAATATACATATTGCCATTTAGTAAGGTAAAATAATTTTTAATTGTGATTTTAATTAAAGTTTACAGAAAACCTGAATTTTCATTCACTCATTGCTTCCTCTATAGTAATTGAAAATATGAGAAATCAAGATTGTAAGAAACAAATAATTGCAAACCATCATGCTTAAGTGTGATAATGATTGGGAAGCTTTGACTATTAATAGTCTGGGTAAACAACTGCCATAAGAGAAAAAAAAGTCATGCTTAAAACATTGAATCCTATGTTAGCAAATCAGAAAAGGAGGGGATCATAAAAGCCAAGTTATAAAGTTTAATATTTCATTAAATTTACCATACAAAATAGTAAAAATGTTTAGTTCTATACGGATTTACTGTCAATAATTAAAGACTTAGAAAAACACATTATAACTTTAGGCTCATATTTCAAATATTGATTATTCTTACCTCTTGCTTTGCCAGTTCATGGCCTTGTCTAGGAGAACAGTGGGGCTGTGTATATGGAGGCTGGTGGGCCACTTTCAGCATCAAGTAATCAATTAGTTGTTCTCTAGAGGGATGCCTTGCCACAGATGTCTGAGGAGGGGGATGATGTATTTGACTGTAATTTGCCTGATGAGGCCCAAGAGGCTGGCCCATCTGTCCATTACTCAAAGGCATCTAAGAAAAACATCAAGTGTTTTAAAATGACCAGTAATAATATCTTACTGCAAATACTTGGATTTTCTTAAAATTTAAGTATTACAAAAGCACTAAGGTTTAACATCCTAAATCACATAATACCATCTCACTTTACACTATCTTTGTAAACTAAACTTTAAAAACATTATCTTAATTCTCAATTTGCCTGAGTGCTTACTGATAAATTCACTCTTCCAAGTTTTCAAATGGAAGTAAATCATATGTTCATTTTAAATGGTGTATTTTGTTATATAGAAATGTTATCTATCTTTCACTAACAAATTAAAGTAAAAAGTAGTATGTAACAGCATGCTAAATATCTCCCCAATTTACAATTATACAGAAACATAAAAAGTGCATTTGCCGATGTTTGTTTCTTTAGATCAAAATTATTGTCTTAAATTTTTCTACTTAATGACTATACTTTTATCTTTTTTAATTTTTTATTATTTTGTGTGCGTGTACCGTCAAATCAGATCTGACTGGTACAGGAGGATATTGCGCCTCCTTCTCCGGCAGAGCATCTGGTGGATTCGAACCGTGTTCCTCGGGGATTGCAGTGCAGCTTCTTGCCACTAGGCCACCAGAGCTCCCCTACTTTTATCTTTTAACTATTTTTCCAAATTCAACAAGTCAACTCAGCTGAATTGACTTATTAGTAAATTTATTTATCCTCACAAATAATTGACAATTGTAAAACTCTCTTAAGTATTAATTTCATAGACCATTAACCAGAAATATTGAGATTTTGATACTCTATTAGTCCTCACGAATGAAACAAAAACCTGAGAGTATTCTATTTTGTTGTGGTAATGACTGCCAGTTTTTTCAGAGACTTAGCTTATTTTAGACTTAAAAAATCACCTTTTTTTGGGAATGATGGTAATAATTTACTGTTATTATGGGGAAATCTATCTGAAAAAGGGGAAATTTTACAGTCACATTGTATCTGCACACAAATAAGATTTTATTATTAATAAAAAGATGACCTAATCTATACAGAAATTGTAGAAAAATTATAAGGAAGATAATGTGAGCCATTTTCTCTAAAACTGTCAAAAAGCATAAAAGGAAGAGAGATCAAAGCAACAGTTTCAGAAATTGTGTTAAAGTTGCTGAAAGATACAAAGTAGTTCAACTTCAATTAAAAAAGATATTGTACATTAAAAAAAAAAAGACTTCCACTGAGCTATACTTAGTTAATTCCTAAGTCTTGCAACTTAAGTGTTTTCACTATATAACAAACCTTGTATGGGTAGAGGAGAATGAGGTACTGTATTATCCTGGTTGGCTCAGGATACGGCAAGATTCAGAGCCACCATTCAGAAGGTCAGTTTGAGTTGTAGTTAACTCAGCACAGAACAACAAATCCTTCCTCTTTGAATACAACATTATGGTTACTATTTGACCCCTATGGTTTAAAAGAAATTGATCTACCTAGGAGTAACTTGCTATGTATCAGAGAGCTGGACAATGACTAGGGATGAGCTGTGGTGTCGGAGAAGAGTACTGAATATACCCTGGATTGCTAAGAAAACGAACAGGTTTGTCCTGGAAAGGGTGACGCTGGGCTGCTCCTCGGAGACAAGGATTTTGAAGCTTTGTCTGACATATTTTGGACATGTTGCAAGGAGGGACCAGTTTTTGGAGAGGGACGTCATGCTTGGGAGGACGGAGGGTCAGCACAGGAGAGGAAGACCCTCGATGAGATGGACTGATTCAGTGACTGGGGTAATGGAGGTAGGTGTGTCGGAGATGGTGAGATTGGCACAAGATAGGGCAGAGTTTAGGGCTGTTGTACACAGGGTCTCTATGAGTCACAGGTGACTCAATAGCACATAACAACAAGAACGAGTAACTAACTGGTTTTACAGTTAATTATAATGTTATGTCCAGTCTCATAGATAATACTTTTTATTCTTCATGTATATGTCATTATTCTTACATGAAGATTTAGGGTCATTTTCCCTTGGAAAAAGCCTCTGGATAGTAATTACTCCTGATCTATTCTTAAGATTCCTTAATACGTGGATGTTTGGTCTCTTCTGACATTGTACATCAGTGTTACATACGGGCTTTATCAAGTTATGATTAATAGATGGCTTTATAAAAGAAAAAAAAACCATTTAAACAAACTCAGTAACCTAAACCACAAAATACATATTAAGCAGTAAAGAAACTAAATGACAGAGTGAAATTAAAATAAAATAAGGCTAAAATAAATAGGTATGTATAAACTCCTAAATCAGATGGTTTGGGGGCTCACTCTTCATAATACTGTAAACGTTTTATTTAACAATTTTGCCTCAGCTGGCTACACTATAGCAATTAGATATGAAAAAGAATAACAGAGGGAGAATGATCTAAAATAAAAAATCCATTAGATCGGACATTGGCAACAAATAAATCTTAACTAAATGAGTAAAGCTTTTTAGCTAAGAAAGTACTCAGACTATAAATATTACCCGTTGCGCAAGCTATACAAATCTTTTTAAAATTTTTAAAAATTATTAATTTCAATGAAAATTTACAGAGACTTTGGATTTCCATAAGGTAATTTAAATCATATTTTAAAAGTCTTTTAAAATGAATTCAATACTAAAAAAGTACTACACTGGTGGTGCAATGGCTAAGCACCCAGCAGCTAACAACAAAAAAGGTTAGCAAGTTGAATCTACTAGTAACTCCATGGAAGCCAGTAAGCTTCTGTAAAACCTGTGAGGTAGTTGCACTCTGTCCTACAGAGTTATACTAGTAGGAATCAACGTAATGCAGTTTTTATTTTAGTTGTAAAGTAATTAAAATTTCCAATTACATTTAGGTCAAACTCCAAAAATCCCAATTTAATGGATAAAAGCAGGAGGTGGTACTACAGAAATCCAAATACAGAAATAAAATGATGATTCTCCAAGTTGGCAAAAATCATGGAATAAACTGAAAAATAGCAGTTTATAAATATTTTGTATTATTTAAGGAAAAAATTCTTACTAATCAGTTGGGCAACGTCCTCAAAAAATTATTTTTGGTGTTACCATTTTAATATGATAATTCTAGTTCTAAACCACACAAGCTTAATAAGCTCACAGAGAGAAAATAATTTATTTCCTGAGCACCTACTTTCATCAAGGTGTCTGGAGTGCCATCTTTGTGACTAAGTGTAGCAGATGAGTAGTTCTGCTGTCCTGAAATGAATACATCATCTTGACAAGGATCTCCTGGACTGGATGTCTGGGGATTCTTCAAATGAGGAAGAAATAAAAGTGAACAAATAATGCTCTGTAAGATGTGAAACCAAAATGATGATGACACTTCAGAGGAAGGAATAAGTAGAGCTAGATAGTGAAAAGATAAAGATCCAAAGCAAATATTACCATCATAATCATCACTTTTAGCCTTCTTCCAAAGCTAGGAGACAAAATGTTCATTTTTGTAATGTATGAAAGTTTATACAGGCAAATATTGGTAACTATTTCTCTTTAATACATATACATTTCTACACTTTTTTTTTCTAACTTTAGATTTACAGTGATACCTAGCTTTTAATTCTTTTGAGCAATACATTTATTTGTAAGAATGAGCATACTCAAACTTTAAGATCAAATAAAGTATATTCCAGCGAACTCTTGTGGTTTAGTGGTAAAAGAATTGCAATGTCAATCCAAAGGTAATGTGTTTAGAATCTACCGGCTGCTACATGGGAGAAAGATGGGCAATCTCCTCCCGTGCAATTTATTGCCTTCTGAAAATTTGCTGGAGGGCCAGCTACAAGTCAGTTCCAATTCGATGGTACACTATAGCAGCAATAATAAAAAGATACACTAGTTGAGATTTACAAAAAGATTTCGGGAGAAAAAATGTCAACCTTTAAATATCACAGTAAAAAGATCTTCTTTTTTTCCTTATTAATCCAACCGGTATTTTGAAAACAAATGGTTTGATGAAATATTTTAAAAATCAACTATATTTTGATTTATTTTAATAATGAATTAAAAGGTAAAAGACTCTAAATGGTAACTTTGTATGTAGTTTAAATCACTGATAGTATTAAAAGGGGAAAGAGACTCAGCATATCTCTATCTTAAATATCTCCTGTAATTCTACTGGGAGAAGAAAAATGGCTATATGTTTCACTATAATAGTTTTAAAAACAACTAGACATATTTGAGAATACTAAAAAGATTGTGATAATAACCTGAAACTTAAGCCTCAATGTACAACTATGCTAATCCATTCTTTAGTAGAACAAGGATGTAAGTAATTAAAAAGTAAAATTAAATGGGAAAAAAATTCCCTCGACGGCATTAAACAACAACAACAGTTTAAGCAAGTAAAAATGTTACTGTAGAAGAATTAGGGGTAAAGAACAATTGTTTTAGACGACCATGAATGGCAAATATTACTCCTGAATGAATTGACTGATCTTTACCTTATGTTGGCATGAGAAGAAATGCTGAGCAGCCCTATTGGTAGTTACCATATTTCACTCACTCTATTTCAAACCAGAAAGCTTCAAAATGATTGCTGCCACCTTCATTTAATATACAAACCAAGTGGTAGTAGGTGAGAAAAAGGTAGGGCAAGATAAGCTGAGGCTCAGGCAGAGAAAAGTGAATCCAGCAGAACTTCCTACTCTGAAACACAGTCACATCTAAAAAAGGACTGGAGTGGGAGTTAGGGTGAAAATAGAGGTTCACGAAAAAGTGAAGGAAATAGAAGCAAGCAGTCAATATGGCCATATAATAATAGTGAAGGTTTAAACAAACAGCAATGCAGGAAAAAAAATTGCTAAGTGATCACGCTAACACAAAGTGGTTGAGGAAAAAAAATTCTAAAAAAGGATCTAGGCAAAGAGTTGTTCTGGTCTTTTTCTCATCTATATTCTTATCCTGATCTTTAACTTCACCATCAATCAAGATGCAGCCATTCACCTCACAATTATTACTAATGACTGTGGTCAAGTGTAGGTTAATATAAAAGATTTTTGTTTTGAATTCCATTGGTATTTCTCAGTTTCTCCAGCCTCAGATTTAATAATGCTTGATGAATTTTGATAAAACTTTCAAGGTCCAAGTTTTGTTATTAGCCAATTCACAGTAACGTTGCAAAATGTAATTATCTCCACAATCCCATTATGGACTACATAAAATATAAATCTTGAAACCCTCCTTTAAGGAAAGCAATTCACTGATTTTAATATTGAGAAAAACACTGCAAAGAATAATTCTGGAAAACTTCTGAGAAAGGTTTGCCTTTCTGCATGGATAAACTGGCTATAGCCTTAGTTCAAGATTCCCACTTCAGAAAAAAAAAATATTATGGGAAAAGTAGGAGGAAGTAATTTAGATTTCTAACTCACAGGAAAAAAATTTCTTCTGGAAATGTTATTTATTTTTCCCCCTTCTATATACTAAAAGTACTGGTCTACTGTATACATGTAGATACTCACTCGAAAAATGTGCCCACCAGAACCTCTTCCGTCTGCAACACTCAAGGCAAGACTGCCCTGGCTGCCATGCAGATCCCTAGAGCTGCCATAGTGAAAGCTGCTTACAGCAGTGAAATTGGAATTAAAGGACCTTGACAGCATGCTCTGAATAAAGAGGGGATAGATTTAACAGAGATTAGTGTAGCATGCAAAATTCACAAGACATGTTATTATGTAGTTACCCCAATCCCATGTGAAACAGCATGCAACACTGAATTTTCAGTGCCCCACTGGTACTGTTATCATGTATTATATATTTACATGACAACATAATATACACATGTAAATACAATGTTCACGTTTGAACACTGGGGAAGAAAATAAAAACACGTAGCTAATTTTAAAATATTTCCTAGGGAGCTCTGGTGGCAGTTTGTAGGGAAATTTAATGCTAATTTAAAATGTTTTCTTGGCATCTTGTTAGAAATTCTTCAGAAAACAAGAATTAATGTCATATCTAGATGACATTTATGTATATATGTTAACTTAAATAGAGAAGACAAACTTAATGTTCCTATACTGAAATCTACAAAAACAGAAATGCTGTGACAAGCATGTACCTTTAGGGAAACTTTAATGTCTCCAGATTTTCAGGAATAATCTCTAAAACCAAGAAACAGTCTAGAAAGAAAAGGATCTAAGATTACTATATAATTACTATATACACTTTATAGATTCAGAAGAGAAATGAAAACCTAAGGTTCTAGATCAGAGCAATATGTTCCCAAATAATGTCATCAGGATTAAAGAGAAGTAGAGTCAGTAAGCATTAAATTATAATTGAAAAATTAATTAAACATATACACATATACATAGAGCATTCATTTGAATGTTCTACACAAAGCACAGTAGCTTGATTGATCTATTTTTTATGATGTGTGCATAGTGAAACAGGAGTCCCTGGGTTGTGCATGTGGTTGCTAGCTAAAAAGGTTAGAAGCACAAAGGTCTATTTCTGAAAAAACAGCCACTCAGACCCCTACGGAGGATTATTTCTACTAGGATACATTTGAAAATTACTATGAGCTGACTAGAATTGACTGGATAGCACAGGTAGTGTTTTTAGGTTGGTTTTTAAAATTAAGAGGATTCAACTGAATAATGTATATAAAGCACTTAACACAGAATGTGGCACTTGGAATGTTATAAAAATTGTAGCTCGAGCTGAGATCTGAAGGGTAAGAAACAGGTTGAGAAGTATTAAAAGTTGTTGTTGTTTGCGACTCATAGCGCCCCTATGCACAACAGCCCTAAACCCTGCTCTATCCTGTGCCAACCGCACTGCCTCTGACACACCCATCCCGATTACCCCAGTCACC